CCCGCGGGCTCAGGCCATCCACTCACCTCAGCCTCCCAAAGCGCGGGATTACAGGCTGGGCCACCGAGCCCGGCTTGCGCTTGCCTTCCTAATTGGCATCAGCATCATCCTTTGCACACACAGACAACTGAGAACCTTCCAACAGGTGGAGGAAGAGCATTCTGATATCAGCTTGCTCAAGTTTGTTTTGTATTAAATACACATGTAACAGACTTCCAAGTGTGTCAGTTCTTTGTTCTACCTCTTAACATTGTTTTACAGTGTAAAATTGTACATGTGTTAATAAAATGTTGCATTTAATGTTATTTTTGTAAACTGAGCTTTGGTAATAAAGCATTAAAATTATTTTTGGAGTATGACATGTAAAAGTATATAAAGAAACAGGATTGATTTCCAGTTAATTTGCATACTTTCTTTCCTCATTTTCCTACAAGCATATTTTTTAGTGCGGGAGAAGAAATAGATTCAGAGAGAGAAGGACTACCTTTGATTTGTTCCTATAAAAATGATTATGGTACCAAAGGCCAAACAGGCCCACAGGGACTCACAGATCAAGGCTTTTTTTTAAAAAAAATCATTAAAATATTTAATTTTATTAACAGAATATTTACATTTCTTTTAAGACCTTATTTAACCATAGTGAGTGTTCCAAGTTTAAAAAGCATTAAGCAATAACCACACACAAGATGAAAACAGTGTAAACTATACAATACTTTATGTACAATTTTTACAAAGTAACACTTTTTTAAATAATATAACTGGACACAAAAATATACACTTTAGAGAAATTCACATCAGTAATTGTATAAAGCTCTCCTCTAGGGTCCTGAAAATGTAGGACAGACATTAGCTCTGTAAATAAGTGTTACTGTGACAGTCCTGAAAGGCCACTATATATATTTATCTACATGTAGAGATCACATTGACGTTTCAAGGCTACCAGCTGTACTATGTAATCGTTAGGTGATGTGTTCAAGTGTTGAGGTTCTTATGATTATGCAAACATCAAAAGAATAGTGGTATCAGAAGTAGCTGGGGAACAACTTTGAGCCAGCAGTTAGATTTACAGGCTGTCAACACCCGATTTAAACTCTAAATGGCTGACATCTTCACTTCAAAAACAGTAGTGAATAATGTTTAAAATAAAATTACAACAAACAAGCTGGAAACATGATTCCGATTCAGTACAATTTTCTTAAGAGTTTTTTTTTTAAAGCAAGCAATTCATTACCATTTCTTACTTTAGTGCATCTGCGTTAAGGCTTTGAATTATTTGACCCAAGATTTTACAATATTAAAATCCGACTCAAGATTTTACAATGTTAAACAAGTCCACAACCAAACCACCCGCTTCTGTCTCACTGAGTCAGCACGAAGAGAGTTAAAGCTCAACACCTTGAGGAAATGGGAGCAGACATGACTAAGAGCTAACAAGTTACAGACATAGCTTTTAATAAAAAGATGTGTAATAAAACAAACAGCTTAGTGGCAAGAAACTGGTGCTAATAAACAAAAGGTTTCTCTGCAAAAGAAATTGTAACATCTTTGGAAAACTGTCCGGTCCCTTCTCATCCGCAGAGCTCGTGCAGCGGCTCTTATGAAGCCAACCTTGATGTCCACTGTGGACACAGGCTGAGGTGCATCCAGCCCGGAGTGGTCCCGACTGGCCTCACACATTGGTGTCCTGGAGTAAAGGTTCTTTGGCCTCTCCTGGTGCCTGTGTGCTGTGAGGGTGGCTATGACCGCCGCAGTGCTTCCTCCAGCCACTGGACCTCAAGCTCAGGTTGGTGTGTTCTGGAATGAACAAGGCAACGAGCAGGGCCAGCAGCACTGAGCAGGCTCCAAACAGGAATGGGGGGCCAGGGATGATGGAGTTCTGGGGAGGAAGGAGAGTGTCAGACACACTTCGTGCTCAAGAAAAATCCCATCTCGTAGCTGACTGCTGTGAATTCCCGGCAGGTGCTGAGGGACAGTCACACTTTCCACATAGCATTCTGGGGACAGCAACTGGCAACACATGGCAACACAGCTCATGCAAAAACAAACATACTGTCACTTTCGGCACAAAATCTGAACATATTTCATGGACCTTTCCTTAATTTGCTGGTCCACAAGGAAATGTTTATAGGCAGATCTCAAAAGTCAAGCTGCGTACAGTATTGCTACAGAGAAGAATCAATGATCATTTCGTTTCACAAAGGCTTGTTTGACAAAGTGAGAAAAACACAAGCTATCATCGAAAGAGATCTTTGTTTGAGCCCCAAGTTACATTTATTCTTCACAAAAACTCACATTGCCAGTTTTGTGTGCAGCCCATAACATTCATTCTTTATTTAAAAGTAGCCTTAGTGAGTTAGCACGCTGCTAAATAAGCCAGGAAGCTTCCGAGCTGTTTGTACTGGCTACAAGGATCAGTGTCATTTGGCATTAATATTTCCTGTGGTGGAGGGGCAGGGGAAAGCACAGCCAGCAAGCACAGCTTTCACCAGCACATAGCTGCCTTCTCTGTGGAAGGTGGGCTCAGCCCAGGGAAGAGCCACAGCAGAGGTCTCATAGGGAAGACAAGTAGCAGTGTAGGGAGATCTGCCATCAGGTGTAATTTGACAAACTAGACAGCTGAAATAATTTTTCATTCTCAAGGGGGGGTAGTTATGCACAGCTGGTTTCATGAGGACGTACACACTGGGAATGTGAGGTACCTGTTCAAAGTGGTGCTGTGGGCTTGTGTTTGTCCCCAAGTCTGTTCCTGTCATGGGCAGTTCTTTCAGTTCCACATGGAATATGTAAAAAATGAAGCCATAGAGGGCTGGTCCCAGACCGTTGCACAGTCCTCGGATTCCTGTGATCATTCCTTGAACAACACCTACGTCGGGTAAGCAAGTTATCACTTGGTAAATCACTTGATCTGCAATCAAGGCTTTTATCAGCCATGAGCAACTCAGAGCAGGGCTGTTAGAACCCAGAGCCAGCAGCCTCCAGAGCGTGGTAAGCTGCTCCTGCAAGGGCCTGTATTTAGGACAACATAGAAGCAGGTGGGCAGAGCCCTTCATTCCCTGACTCCAGCCTTGAAAAATGCTCAGTCGTGAGTTCACAAGCAAGCACGAATGTCCCAAGCTCTGCCCCAGGCAGCTCCTCCTTTTGGTAAAGACTACCCTCTTTCATGGAACCTGCTATTACTCTCTGGGATGTCTCTCCAATTCCCAGTGTGACACTGGCCACAAGCTCCTCCCTCCTCACGTGCCAAGGAGGTGACACTGCCACCCTTCTGCAACACCCCTAAACTCTCTTTACAGCAGATAAGACATATCCTTTGCAAAGAATTATTCTCAACTGTCAGCGTTCCAGAAATTGTCTCCACCACAAAAGCATAAAACAATAAACGTAACTAAAACCACAGGATTTTCTGAAAATCAGACACAAGGTCTTGTTGTCCAGGCTGGCTCCTAGGCTTCAGCCATCTTCCTGCCTCCCTCTCCCACGTAGCTGGGATTGCGGTGTGTGCCACCGCACCTGGCTAAGACCGTAAGATTTTTTAAAAAGGTGCATAACACGCGCCAACTATCTGGCAAGAGGCAGCGAACAATAACTTCAGTGAATGTAAAGTGGCCAACCTTCCTCACTACCTTTTGTGGCAAAACGGACAAGGCCACACAGTCAAAGAGAGATGAGGGGATGACCACCTGAGGAGACCACCCAGGAGCTCCCACTTAGACCGCAAGTGTCCTACAGCGCTCTACCCTGAAGACACGGGGTGTCTGTGTTTGGGAGACAGACAGAGGAAGCAAGGCTGGGATGCTCTGTGCTTCTGAGCAGCCCCTGCGGGCTCCACCAGCTCACCCTGTTGGTCGGCGTCGGCAGTTCGCGACACGAGCGCACTGACAGCAGGGAAGGTGATGCTGGACATGGCCGCCACCGCCCCTGCGGCCCACATCATCCTGCAAGCAGAGCAGAGAACAAGATTGGTCATGGCTCCTCCCCACCACACTTGCATGCCAGGCTCGTCTTTATGATCAGGCACGTTCCTGTATCTGACCCGCTCCCTCCTCCCGGGGAATGGGCAGAGCCCCACCCTGTTGAGAAAGCCAGCCGCCATGCCCAAGAGCCGGGGTTCAATGGCATTGGGATATCAAAACGCGAACTGGAGATGAGCAGGCTGTGGCTACTGCATGTGTTGAGAACCGTGCGGAATACGCCAGTGAACGTTTCCCAACATGGACACTAGCAGGCCTTCCAAAAGGTTCCTGTGACTTGCCATCAGTGTAAAAACATCATGTCCCAAACTAACCCTTCAGGTGTCAAGAATAAGTAACTAGGATGCTCCTGGCTTGACGTTTAAAATAAATGCTTTACATAATTTTAATTGTGAGCAACTCTGCAAAAGCTAGGCAGAGAACAAATTGTTCACCAAAACAAGTCGGGTCTTACTCTGCTGTCTGAGCTGAAGTGCAGGGACATGACCACCACTCACCACAGCCTTGACCTCCTGGGCTCAGGGGATCCATTAGCCTCAGCCTCCCAAGTAGCTGGGACTGACTGTAGGCGCCTGTCACCACACCCGGCTGATTTTTTGATTATTTTGTAGAGATGAGGTTTCACTATGTTGCCCAGGCTGGTCTCGAACTTCTGAGCCCAAGCAATTCTCCCACCTTGGCCTCCTAAGGTCCTGGGATTGCAGGTGTGAGCCACCGTGCCCGGCCTCAAAACACGCACTCGGTGCTGTGTCATCCCAGGTCCAGAGCTGAGGTGGCCAGCTGTCTGACCACTAGTGTAAACCCTGGCATCTGGCTCCCCCCACCCCACCTGAGCACAACCAGACTGTCTACATGAGCAGCCTGACACCAGCATCTCTGCCACTCAGCCCTGCAGGAGGCAGCCAGGCAAGAACAGCTGGGACAGCATGAAGCCAGCAGGCACTGGGTCTGCTTCCCTTCTGGTTTTCTCGGTAGGTTTCAACTGAGGACTGTTTGAGTCAGGTTAAAGTGGCAGGTCAGAGGTTCTAAGCAATGCCTGGGAGATTATCTCTACGTAGGAACCCTTCAGGAAGTTTTTTGGGTCCAGGAATAATCACTGGTATTACACAACTTTTTTCTAACCAAAAAACCAAAAAGAGGTCAAATGCTACCTTTCAGAGCCTGGCTGCTACACAATTATGCGTTTTCTTTTGTTTTTTTTTGAGTTGGAGTCTCACTCGGTCGCCCAGACTGGAGTGCAATGGCCGCTCCCGGCTACCACAGCCTCGGCCTGCTGGGCTCCGGCGATCCTTCCGCCTCAGCCTTCCAAGTAACCAGAATTACAGGCATGCGCTACCATGCCCGGCTGATTTTTGATTTATTGTAGAGATGAGGTCTCGCTGCCCAGGCGGGTCTCGAACCCGCGGGTTCAGGCAATCCACTCACCTCAGCCTCCCAAAGGCACGGGATTACAGGCTGAGCCACCGAGCCCGGCAATTACACGTTTTCTAATTACACACAGATCTACATGAAATGCTCCTTAGAGCCAGAAGTTCTGCAATGTCATTTGAAGCATCACTGGCCCCTGGGCTATGAAGGGCCCTTTCCTCCCTGCAGCCACTCCAGGAGAAACATGCACATGGGGAGATCGCATGACACACAAGCACACAAGGGGAGAGCCACATGACATTTTGAAAGAACAAGCATAGCAAGAGACAGGCCACAGTCTCTGCCTCAGTGGAGAAGCAGATAAACAAGCAGATCACACCAAATGAGGAGCGTGGACATCACCATGTTGCACCTACCAAGGCTCTGAGCCGAAGCCGTACCAGGCTAGCTGTAAGATCTGAAATCCCAGGCCCAGCAGAATAGTGTTCTTATTTCCAATTGACCTCATAAGTAAACTCAAGACTATGGTCTGAAAAAAGAAAAAGCAAGATGGTTAATCAAAATAAAGCATCTCTAATGTCTTCCAATCTATAACATAAAAGGACTGTACCCACTTTCCTGCCTTTTGGAGAATTTCCAACAACTGCCCTGAATGTGTATACGTTTATGATTCCCTAAATCGAGACAGTCATTTAAGAGTTCTATCAAATTTATTCACACACATGCAATGAAAAGCAAAGGAAGGCTCTTTCAAGGATTTTTGAGCAATTCTGACTCACCCTTCTCTGACACTTTCCCTTAAACCACAGGGGTGGAGGGCTGATCCCTCAGGCATGGCACTCTTGTGGAAGCATTTACTTCTGCAATCACAGCCCCTGAGAGCTCACCCACAGCCAGTGATCAGCCACGAAGCTTCAAATCAGCTAAGCCCTTATACTCAGAAGTTGGTGTTTTCCAGTCTCATCAGGAAATGTTTTCCATTTGTTTTGTCCCCAGTCAAATAGTACCTACATGAGCCTGTTACTTACTGCTAAGGTAGGAAATCACATGCATCCCATGGCTTGTGGGTGGGTCACTGGCCAATATTATAAAAGTAATCAAACAAGTAGAAGTTACAGGGTTCCAGTGTCTCTTGGTTTTACTATGGAAGAGTTGGAAATGGGCTTCAAGGACTTACGGAACCAGCACTGAGTTGGCCCAAGCTCTGAGGCATGCAGGTGCCTAGGAGGAAGGGGAGCCATCATGCAAAGGTGGTAACCTTTCGGCAGCTACTTCTAGAACACCCCCAGGTGGAGCCCGTTTATCATAAAGCAAGACATGTGTTCTCATTTACTGCTAAATGCAACCCAAGAGGAAGAAGCGTTGCTAAAAACCAGATTTCACCTGTGATGAAAGACCTGCCACTCCAGCCACGGGTCAGGGCAGTGCAGCAGCTGACTGGCAGGCCCCAGCTCAGCAGGGCAGGACTGGCAGCTGTCCTGGGGCATGCCTCTCAGGAGCGCTGTCCAAGGAGGCCAACGTGTCTCAAGCACAGATCACAAACGTGACCCAAATGCTGAGGCACTTCAGTGACCTCAGTCCCTCATTCAGCCCAGCTAGCTAGGGATGGGCCTGGGGTGAGTGTGGGCGTCACCAGCAACTGAGGACTGGCTAGGAGAGCACGAGGGAGAGGAGCGTGTGGAGCGCGAGGCCCAGCTCCTCACGACAGCATGTCTCTGGTGGGTGCATGCTAATGCCTGGGAAGGAATGGGCCTACGGCCACTCAAGGAGAAAGGCCACCAGGCAGCCTGAAGAGGCCTGTCTGGCTCAGCAGGTCCCACCCCTTGGGAGGAGCTGACACCCACAGCTCCACAGACAGCTTCCCAGCCTCAAAAACTCACTACAGAAAAGAGCAGCAGCCTCTCTGCCAGCTTAGGGGTGCAGGATGGGAGGGTGACTCGACCCTGACCTTGTGACCTACACAGAGGTCCCCTGGGCCCACAAACAGCCAGGCAAAGAGGATTGGAAGTCAGCAGGTGAGCTCCACCCTGCAGTACAAATGGGCCAGCTAGGGAGGGGCCCAGAGGCAGGGAATGAGCAGTTGCTCAGTCGACAAGGCTGGGATGGGGCCACACACAGAGACCTGGACACGGCAGGAAAGAGATGCCAGCGGAACAAGCCCTTCTCTGCTGAGTGCTCTTGTGTACGGAGGAGGCCACTGTCTCCGGCCTGGGCCACACACAGTCCACACTGGCAGCTCCTACCCCCATCATGTGGCAACTCACACATCCCATCCAAGCTCACATGAGAGTGCACGCCCCTCCACATGGGCTTCGGGCCAGCCGCTTGCCGCTGTCCTCACCATGACTTCTCACCAGGAACCGGGCTCCTCCAGGCCCAGAGCCTGCAGAACCCAGGCCCTTGCCACTGCTATGGCCACGCCCGCTGCCTGCTCCTTTCAGTCTCGTGCCTCTGGGGTCTCTCCAGCTCAAGTCCAGCCACACTCCTGGGCACGCCCTGGAGATGCTGCCCACGGGGCTGTTGTGCCAGGGGCCTCGCCAAGCAGAGGAGCGCCCGAGAGAGCGCTGCCTCCCTCGGCTGCAGCCCCCACAGTCAGACTGGAACACAGAGCTCAGGAACTCACAGCCAAGGTCTCTCTGTCCACACAGCAAGTGCCAGCCTGTTCTCTTCATCTATACCTTAAAAAACATTCAGCACATCTACTCATAACACATGAAGAACCTCCTTGTGCTGGGCTCGTCCAGAACTGCACGGTCGAAGTAGCCTTTGACACCTCATCCAGCTCTGCTCTTCCCTATCTATGCATTTTCTGGTGTGCGATTTCTTCAGAAGGGCCCCCCCACCAGAAGTATTTTCCTCCAAAGTTGAAGAGCAGTTTTTCCTGATGGCTAAGAATGAACATTTAAATAACATTCAAATGTTTTTGCCAGATCAAGATAAACCGAAGTGATACTCATAACTCTGTGCTGTGGGGGAGGGGGGATAGGAGAGGCATGCTATGGGATTTCAGTTGGAAACTGATCACTAAACCCACCAAAAATTCACAAATGAGATCTGTAGAAGGAATCCTACCCAAGAGACCAAACCATCCAAGAGTCCAATGAAAAGAACGTACAGGCAGGCATGGTGGCATACACCTATAGTCCTCGCTACTTGGGAGGGCAAGGCAGGATTGTCTGAACCCAGGAATTTGAGGCTGCAGTGAGTTATGATTACACACTCCAGTCTGGGTTACAGAAGGAGACAAATGGAATAAAACCAAGTTGCAATTGAGTAGACTGGATGTAAGGTGGGGCAAAGTGCTGTATTGCAGCCCACCCTCAGAGTCTACAAAAAGCAAAGCCACGGAGCAAGACAGGTCAGGGCTTCTTCACAGGAGGGAGGACCGTGGGAGAATTAAAGTCCCTGGAGAAAAAGACCGTTTCTGCAGTGGAACAAAGACAGTCTGGAAGGCAGGATGAAATATCTCCCAAGAAAATCCCAAGTCCTGTGTTGAGTATATATATTCACATCCTACTCATCAAACTGCCGCTGTTGGCAAACTAGTCTTCCAAGACACACTTCTGCACTGCTCCTGTGGCCCTATCTCCTTCCACTCCCCAATTAAGAACCCCCCCGTGGCCCCTCTTGTCCTCTAGTCTCACAATGAGCCCCAGAGCTACACGGGACCTGGCCTCTCGCTGCCCCGGCTCTCTTCCACGTGCCCTTTCCACTGGCACTCTGCTGGTCACCTGCCCCTGCTGACGCTACCTTGGCTTCACTTCTGCACCCACTGTGCAGAGAGCTCTTCCTCCAGATGTGCCCTCACGCCTTTGGGTCTCAGCTCAAGTGTAACCTTGGATCAGCGAGGCCTCCCCAGCCATACCCGACATCCCCTGGCCCCCCGTCCCTCCCTGTACTCCCCACCTCTCTCTTGAGGGCTCACTACCCCTGCGGTGTTCACACAGATGAACCTGGAACATGTCTCCCCCACCAGGCTGCAGACTCCACGCCCGCAGGGATTCAGTGACGTCACCACTAGCCCCAGTGCCTGACACACGGCAGGCGTTCAGTAAATACTACTCAATGCGTGAATAAATAGAATACTTCAGCTTCACACATGCTAGTGTACAGCAATACACAGGCATTTGGGTTCATATATCATATATTGATTAATATTGTCAGTCCCAGAAATCTGATCAATACTAGCTACACTAACAGTATTGAGTCTCTGAACCTACAAACCTCAGACCCCCGACGCTGGTAACCACACCAAGGCACCCCCACTCTGTGGTGTGTCACTCTGTGACACCCTCTTATAAAAAGAAACTCACCTGTGCAATGATGGAGAGGATGCCAAGGACTGCTATAAAGGCGGCAACACTTTCTGGTGAGAATTTCATGATCTAGAAGGTATCCAGAAAAGGTAACATTAATGAATAAAAATGCACAACAAACAACACGCTAATGCAGCTACTGGCACATTCACATTAAATAAATGTAACTCATTTATTTTATTTTGAGCTGGAGTGTCATTCTGTCAGCCAGGTTGGAGTGCAGTAGCACGCTCCTGGCCATCAAAGCCTCAACCTGCTGGGTTCAGGTGATCCTTCCGCATCAGCCTTCCAAGTAGCTGGAACTACAGGTGTGTGCCACCATGCCCAGCTAATTTTTTGATTTATTGTAGAGATGAGGTCTTGCCAAGTTGGCCCAGGCTAGTCTCGAACCTGTGGGCTCAGGAAATCGTCTCACCTTGGCCTCCCAAAGTGCTGGGATTATAGGCATGAGCCACCGCGCCTGGCCTAGTGTAACTCATTTATAGATGAAGAATTCTTCAGAGGAAATGGGACACGTCCTAACATACTAAAAACACTATCAGCTATTTGGAAGGCTGAGGTGGATAAAAACATCCACTTCCATGCAGTAGGTCCGTTACTTGCAACAGACTAAATTGGAGCACTACCAAGTTCTCAGAATCACTTCATGAATAACTATGGCGGCGCACAGTGCTCCTGACAGGTGCTGGGGAAGGCCTGGTCCCTGTCTGCTCAGCGAGTCCCTGCTCTCGTGTTGGCTGGTGGCTCCACTTCTCTATGCTCCAAACCACAAGGTTTTGTTTTGCCGGAGTGGTGAATCAGCTAAGTCATCCCATCACCTCTATAAGCACAAGTAAACTCAGACCACCTGGTGATGGAGAAAAAGGGGTCTCTGGCCTAAGCAGTACATCTTAACACCTCTAAGACCCCATAGACAGGCACAAGGAACACCAGCCACACTGGGCAGGAGGGGGAGGCCAAGAGACCATAAGATGTTCATTTTTAAAGGTGTCCATGTTGGAGTTCCTTCAAGATTCGATATGTTCACTGTGGCAATGCAAGGAAAGCCCACCTCAGTGGAAGAGCATCTTACCTGCCTGAGGTATAGAAAGAAGCTGGAGTACTGGCCGGCCTCGGGCAGGTAAGAGAGGAACACCGTGATGCAGATGAGGAGCACTATGGAATCCTGGCCCACTTTCTTTAAGGACTAGAACAAGAAGCAGACTGAGGTGAAGCTTCCCATTGCCCGCACTGAGCTGCCCTTCACACGCAGGCTCTTCTGGCGGTGCCCACGGACAGCAGGCTGACTTTCCAGTTCATCTCATCCTATCCAGACTATTCCAGAAAGTATTTTTAAAAGTTTTAAAAAAACCCTTTAAAATGCTTTCCCCAAAGAAACAGCCACAACAAAATATGCATGCTGCACGGAATCCTGAGTTCATTGTTCTACCAAGGAGAAGGAAAAAGCCTCATCTTACTGCAAAGGGATCCGCCTGCTCCCAGGAGATGGGCGCTCCCCATGATGCCGGCCGCATCTTCTCAGGCAATGACTCTGGCACAGCCACAAGGATAAAGCAAATATCCAGCAACGCTATGGCTGTAGCTAGGACCACCACCAGGCTGTCCCCATACACACGGCCCAGGTATGCTCCAATTGCAGGACTGGTGACTAAACTGGCCGCAAATGTTGCCGACACCTGCCACAAGAGAGGGACAGACAGGGAGAAGTCAGGCGCCTGCCCACCCCGATGCCACCTCACCTCCTTCCACACCAGGACTTGGGTTCGAGCGTGGGAGGCACCCTCCCTGCCCTTCCCACCTGTGCCACTTACATATGCTCTGCTTTTAGGAAGACAGAGGGATTATAGTTTTGCCTAAAAAATACAAAACAGCCTCAAAGGACAGTGGACTCAAACTTCACGTTGTACAGCCCTTTGTTCAATAAATTCTACTGATAAATTCACAGGTAAACCTTGTTTCAAAAAAGAAAAGCTGTACTAGCTGAGGACAGGCTGGGCCTGGGCACTGTCCAGAGACCCCTCCCTGCCTGCCAGTCAAGTTAGTGCCCAGGAAAGCCTATAAGCCCCGAGCCTCTGGTGAAGGAGTCTCAGATCTCTGCCCTAAGAAACCCCATTTCATTGTGATTTTTCCAATATGAAAATATAAGCCATAGCCAGGCTCGGTGGCTCAGCCTGCTTTGGGAGGCTGAGGTGAG